TATCCAATGAAAACGCAATCAACAGTTTTTGGTCCGATTTTAACCCTTTTAGGTAAAGGAACTTGTACCTTTGCTAGACACCCCCACACTTTGAAATATTTCAAGTTGGGTTTTCTTCCTTTCCATTTTTCATATGGAATAGATTGCGTTTTGCTGTGGAGTACTCTGTTGAGTATTCGGTTAGCTGTAAGGATAGCTTCACCCCACAAACTCTGCGGTAATCCGGAACTTATTAATAAAGAATTCATCATTTCCTTTAATGTCCGATTTTGTCCAAAAATAATTGAAAGGAATTTTGTCCAAAAAGATTAATCAATCAATCGATCTTTGACCAAATCCAAATCCAAATCCGAAGCCGAAGCCGAGCCGAGCGACGACGGCGGCGGCGCGAGGCTTGCCTTTTTTTTTTCTTAACTCTTTAAGAGCTAGAAGAAGAGCAATTATATATATACCCATCAAAAGCCTTTTTCTTTCTCCGATATGGGACAATTTCCCTTTCCCAAGGGAAACTCAAATATTTCATTTTCCCTCCATTTCTCATTCACCTTCTTTAAGCTACACAAGCTTAAAATCCCAACAACCAATAATGTAGTGGCACAATCAAAAGATTGAGGCAACATTCAGCAAGTAACCATGAAGGGATAAAGCCTCTTTTCCTAAAGTTCCGGATGAAGTAGTTGAAGACTGCAAGAAAGCATTTACTAAAGGTTCAAAATGTAAGAGCCATGTCGAATGCGACTTTGAAAGAAATGTGAGTTGTTGCAAATATGGGCGTTTTACATCAAGAGGCTAGAGATCCAATAGATAATTTTGTTAGTGCTAAAGTAAAGCAAGCTACTTTGAACTCCAAACGAAAAAAGAGGAAAAGAAAGAAGTTTGTCAACGAATTGGTAGGTTCTTCTTCTCAAGTGGTATATTTAATGTTGCAAAAAAACCATATGATTCGCCAATGTTTGACGCAGTCCCTCAATGCATGAGTTGAGAACTTGGATACTGAAAGATTAGGTCATGGATATTGACAAAAAGATGAACATAAAAAATCTTAGAAGCAATATGGTAGTTCAGTTTTGTCTTTTAGTTAGATAGATGGATGGAAAAAAGTAGATAGTTTATAAATTTCCTTATTAACAGTCCTGAGGAATATTATTTTTAGATCTATCGATACTTCTGATTTTACTAAAAGTGGTGCAGTGCTTGTTATACATTTGAATAGAATCATACATGAAGTTGAAAAAGAAAATGTTGTTAGGATAATTACTAATAATGGTTCTAATTTTGTGAATGCCAAAAAGAGAACAATGAAACCTCGAACTGATGTTTATTGGACTCTTGTGCAACACGTATTGATCTTTGTTAGAAGACATATCGGAAGTTGAAAAATCATCAAACCACACTTACAAAAGAAAACAAAAAAGGACGAGATTTATTTACGGACATACTTGAGTGTTAGATTAGATGAGAGCATTTACAAATAATCAGGAACTTGTTCACTCTGCTACCAGTCGCTTTGCTACATCATATTTCACCCTTCAAAAGCAAGAAAAAGCCCTTAGAACTTTGTTTTCTCTGAAGCTTGGAATAAATCTGCATGGGCTTCACATGAGGGGGTGAAAATAAGAGTCATGGTTATGTTTTGTTAGATCAGAACTTTTTGCCGCATATCTTTACGCAATAAGCATTATGTGGCCAAAGTTCAAATCAAGCAAAACTATGACTCTCGCTTTCACCCCTAGTGTTCTTAGCCTAAGTAGATCTATCCCAAACTTTAGAAGTATAGATCCAAAAGCTTGTTTTTGGTTGCGAAGACTTTGAAGAGTGTAATGCGAGTGATAGCAGGACGAAAAGGCTTACGATTATTTATAAGTGATTTCACTAAATCCAACGTTCAAGTATGTCCATAAATAAATCTCGCTTCTTTTGCTTTATAAGTGTTGTTTAATGAACTGTTAACTGTCCTATGTCTTCTAACAAGAGATCAATACAATGTGTTGCTCGAAGAGTCCAATAAATATGAGGCCGAGTTTCCAATATTCTCCTTCCAGCATTCACAAAATTAGAAACATTACTGGTAATCATCTCAATGATATATTTTTTCTCCAACTTCACCTATGATTCTATTCAGCGTAACGCAAGTATGTCAGCACTCTTAATAGAATCAGATGCATCAATAGATCTAAAAAGAAAGCACATGCAGGACTATTAAGGAAGTTAATAAAACATCCACTATTCCATCCGTCCAACTAGTAGACATAATTGAACCATACTGCTTCCAAGATTTTTCATATGCATCTAACATCCAAGTTCTCAACTCATGTATTCAGGGAGGCACAAAACTCTGACATAATTTGCAATTCCCTCAAATATTGCCAAATAATATGGATCATTTGCGGCACTAAACGAGATAACACTTGAGAAAAAAACCCTGCCAATTCACTGACAAACTTCTCTTTCCTCTTTCTGCTATTTGGAGTTAAAAATAGTTTGTCTTGCTTGAGCAATAACAAATGGTTTATTAGAACTCTAGCCTTTGCATGTAAATTGCCCAGTTGGAGAAGAACCAAATTCACTACCCATATTACCATATTCGGATGCAACAAATCGTGTTTCTTCCAAAGTAGTATTTTGCTTGGTTTTACGTTCTGAACATGTAATAATGATTCAAATACTTCATCCGGCACTTTAGGACAAGGATTTATGTTTATAGACGCCTACTAAATGTTTCAATCTAGTAACTGTGTTGTTGCATTGTTGGTTACAAAACTTGCATCAAAAGTACTTCTCATTCGGGGTCATGATTGTATACTTCCATGCAAAATCTTTTCTACTCAAATTTCTAGAGCCTCATTTATCCATTCTCAACTATAATTTGTCAATACAAAATTTACGTTTGCCTGGGAGAGAAATGCGAGAGAAATGAGACATGAACAGGACATGTAAAACATAAAAGGAAAATAAAAATAAAGAACCAGTGACAAGTAAAGGATCCAATAATAACCAACAACAAATAAAGTACTTTAAGAAAATCCAACAAGAAACATCATATACATTCTTGAATTGGATTACATTCTTCCAACATATGGAAGAATGTCACCCTTCAAGAATGTATACTTAATTCAAGAATCCATGTGATAAAATAAAGCATAACTATCAAACTTAACCTGTTTTCTTATTAAAACAGTTAAATCTCTAAACCAGTCAATTAGATCAAACATCTACATTCCTTTAACATAGCAAGAATGCTATCAAAAGAAACAAAAATCCAAGACTCTGGCAAAAGAGAAATCTGTCCAATTCATAGTACCCTTTCTCAAGATTTCTCAGCATATTTATTACTTCTGAGGTTATTCCCCTAGCTAATGTCATCAAATTCTCAAGATTTCTCAACATATATCCCATGTTTAACTTTCTATCAACAATCAAATTCATTCGGAACTTCTTCTCTATGCTGATCAAAGAGAAGCCTTTTCTTTTGTTTAATAAAATTCCATATATTTTATTTATTTATAACTATTCTTTACCTTTTCAAGGTCAAATTTGAGTATTACTTATACTTGACGCAAGCTAAACTAGCTCAAGAATCAGTACAACCAATATTCATTAGCAAACGGATAACACTAGCGGATCATCGGACTAACTTGAAATTTTAACTTGAGCAACATGTTGAGTTTAATCGGAAAAGGATCAATATACCAGCTTTTACTAGAAACCCAACTGCAGTGAATAGAAAGTGAATCAACATCAAAGAAAAAAAAAATATGGCAAAGGACGGAGCGCATAAAAAAAATGATATCCAAAAACTAATGTGATAGAAATACGAAAGGGTAAAGCAAGAAGAGAGTATCAAAGTCGTTAAAACTGGTCAGAGGATGATTTCTTCAATTTCAAGGTCGCCGATCCGCCTTGATGTTACGAAGTTAGGGCTCTTTTTCTTTGGCGGGGATGAATTTTGGTATTAAAGAAGAGGGTTTTAGAAAAAATAATGGGAGTTGTCAAAATTGTCTCTAGTTTTTTAAAGTTTCAATAGGCGGGCGTGTGCCTCACTTTCTAGGGCATCGCCCAACAGAACCTACACCCCCTACTATTGTCCCGCCCCAATTCACGCCCAAGGACTCGCCCCAAAACGCATTTCAAAGCACTAGTTACTACAATTTTGCACTGAAATATATGTTGATGAAAAACTTAGATTTTATTAATTGGAAACTAGAAGCATTGCCACTCCATTAGATTAAGCTTACAAAGCAGAGGATATAAAGTTTTAACATCAAAAGATGGATAAATATCTGCACTGAAATGTGGATCTCTTTACAATATTAGGAATATTAAAATAATTTTAAGTGTATTATGCTAATTATAAAAATGTAAAATTGAATATCAATGGGACTTATGCCTCGTGGCTCGGGATTTACACCTCGCCCCATGTTGGGTAAAACATCTCACCTCATGCCCTCACCTTTTAAAGCACCGATATAGACATTGAACTACCATATTCAGAAGAAAAAAGGAATATTCTGGAAAATTGAGAAAGAATAGATTAAGCTAATCCAATAATTAGTAGGAATAAAAACAGCTCTTGACTACATCCTTCAGCCACAAGTTGAAGGGTAATTTCAACTTTCCATTAACATAGATATAGCACTATCGAGGAAAAATTAGTTATTGGTTCCCAAAACCCAGAATTTTTTTGAAAAAAGAATTAGTACTGATATGCTTTTCACCATCCCACCTGTCACATCCCCTGCCCCTTCCCCTAAAAGAAAAGATTTCTCTATGATAAACTGATATGAGGTAACAAAATTACCTTGTGATCGGTTTGTTCTTGCAGTGAAAACAGCCTTCCGCGCTCCCAATTCTAGCAATTGGAACAAATCATGCAACTATGTTAGCCATGCATTGATTGGGCATTAGTGCCAGCTGAAACTTTAAAAGAAGATATTAACATACACCTACAAATATTCATCTTTAAAGACTATCAAGTCTATGGAAAATCTTCAAAAGGTCAATCAAAGACAGCAAATCATCCTACGGTCTTCACATGAGATGCAAACTTTGAACTTGAAGTTTGAAGAGTTACAAGGAAAAAAGAAAACAAAAAAGGACAAAGTAGCCAAAGGCCCTTAGGGCTACTCAAAACTGTTTATAAAATGGATACTACATGTTCCAATAGAACGATGTGTGCAACCTAACTTGCAGAGCAATTACAACTTAGCTCACTTTTGTTGGGTGTGTGAATAACGTCCTACATGGAAAGTAGAAAAAAAACTACTTATAAGGAGTTAGATACTCTTAATGGTGTGAGGCCTTTTGGGGAAAATCGTACGGGCTTGGCTTAAAGCGGATAATATCGCAACATTTTAAGAGTACTTTTGTAACGACCCGACCGGTCGTTTTGAGGATTAGCGTCCCGTTCGGTGGCTTAACGTCTCGAGCAGCTTCGTATTATGTGTTATGACGTGCGTGCGTGGTCGAGTTCGGATTTCGGATGATTCGGGATTGGTTTGGAAGAAGGATTCTTATTTTAGAAGTTTAAGCGGTAAGAGTTTGACCGGAGTTTGACTTTTGTGTAGGCGACTCTGAAATGGCGTTTTGATGGTTCCAATAGCTCTGTATGGTGATTTTGGTCTTAGAAGCGCGTGCGGATGTTGATTTGGAGGTCTGTAGGTCGTTTCGGCATGAATTGGCGAAAGTTGAAAAAAATGGAAGATTTTGGAAAGTTTGACCGAGAGTTGACTTTATTGATGTCGGGGTCGGATACCGGTTCCGGAAATTGGAATAGGTCTGTACTGTCATTTATGACTGTCCAAAATTTGAAGTCAATCGGAGTTGGTTTGGTATGAATCTGCATTAGTTTTGGAATTCAGAAGTTCATAAGTTTCTTATGCTTGAATCAATGCGCGATTCGTGACTCTAGTGTTCTTAGAGGCAATTTAAGGCTTCGAGCAAGTTCGTATCATGTTTTGGGACTTGTTAGTCTACTTGATTGGGGTCCCATGGGGCTCGGGTGAGTTTCAGATGGGCTTGGATTGTGCCACGCTCTTATTTGATATTTCGACGTCGTTTCTTTTGGCATAAAGGGTACCACATTGTGCAAATGACCTTTGATTTGTGATTCGATTGAACCATCAGATCCATATCGTAATTACAGAACCATAGCAACAAGAATCGTCGCATTCCGAGGTCGTATGAGAGAGTTATGCCCATTTTCATGTCGGGAAAGATTGTTGTTTTTTCTCGTGTTTGAGGGAACATAGGCAGATCGCAGGTGTCAAATGCGATTTATAAGTCTCAGTGTCAAATGCGATTTATAAGTCTCAGGTGTCAAATGCGATTTATAAATCTCAGGTGTCAAATGCAACTTGCCTGGAGAGGTTTCTAAAAACAGGGGTTTCACCATTTTTATCATATTTTGAGTTGTAGACTTCGGATTTGAGCGATTTTTGAAGGGTTCTTCACGTGTTCGATTGGGGTAAGTGTTCTATATCCTAAATTGATTAAATTTCATGATTTCATACTTATTTATATCATTAAATTAGTGAATTGAATGGATGAAAATGGGAAATTTTGTAAAAATCTTTCAAAATGTAAAATGAGGATTTGAAGGGCGATTCGATGTCTGAAATTGATAATTTTGGTATGGTTGAACTCGTATCGGAATGGGTGTCCGGGTTTTGTGAATTTTATCGGGTTCCTAAGTGCGAGCCCAGGGTTGACTTTTTAGTTTTTGTTAAAGATTGAAACTTTATTAACCAGAATTGTTTCCTATGAGTTTTATTTATGATTTGAAGTTATTTTGGCTAGATTTGAGCCGTCCGGAGGTTGTTTCACTCGAGAAGGTCATTTTAGAGTAACGGTCTAGCTTCTTTGAGGTAAGTATCTTGCCTAACTTTGTGTGGGGGAAACTACCCCTTAGGATTTGAGTCATTTGTGCTAATTGTGTCATGTGAAGGACGTGTACGCGAGGTGACGAGTACGTACTCGGGCTTATTTGTGAAAATTTGACCGTTTAGGGCTCTTAGGTTCTTATGTTCATTAGATGTGAAGTTGTTTTAGCAAGTTAAATCCTCCATTTACTAAATTCACCCTTATGTGTCTTATTTGGAATTGATTGGTTCATATTCTACCCTTGTTGTCAATTAAACTCTTATGTGCCTTAATTGAAGTTGTTGCCTCTTTATTGCCTTGTTGTCTTTCCCGTAGTTGCTTAACCTTAATTGAAGTTATTATTATTTCTTCTGTAATTCCTTGGCCTTAATTGAAGCTTTGTTATCCCTTTTATTGGTAACATATTCTTACGTGGGGTCATTGATTCATGCTATCTCTCTTATCGTCGAATTGCATTCTTGTGGAATCATTGTTACACATTATCTCTCCCTTGTTGAGCTATTCTTGTTGAGACCATTATTCTCCCTGTTGTGTCTTTCTTTGTGAGCTCGTTCTTCCGTTTCTTTGTGTTCTGAAGTTCTTGTGTTGATTTACTTGTCGTACTCTTGCGTTATCGTTGTTGTTGTTATACTCGGTGTTGTTGAGCCGAGGGCTATGCGTGGCTGTGGTATTGAAACTGTTTTGAGGAAATGTTGTGGCATATGGGCACATGTTGTGAAAGTCATTTTATTGTGTTGTTACGTTTTGGCACACGTGGTATTGTTGAGAGGATTGTCGGGTTGTTCGCACGTGAGTTGTCTGTGTTGTTATTATTGATATTTGCACATGCGGCGTGACAAGGCGGTCTATATATGTGGGTTTGCGCATGTGGCAAGATAAGGTGAGAATATTATTGTGCGCATGCGGTGAAACAAGGCGGGCATTTACTTTATTATTGCGCACGTGGCGAGACAAGGTAGGCTATGTCGGGGAATGATTTGTGATAACTTGTGATGGCCTGGGGGCATTGTTATTGTTAATATTTGTGTAGTGGTGTGCCTACCTTGTGTGAGTTATACCTTGTACATTTTGTGGTGATCGTTTCTTATGTGTCATTCATTGTCTTTACTTTTACTTGTCGACTTGAATTGGGATAAAACACGTGCACAAGCATACACGTAATTAATCACCCATATCGGTTTAAGAAGATGAATACTGATGTTATTAACCATTTACACGTACTCCCGTTTACTTGCCTTCTGTGTGAGAGTTGTTCTATTGGCACGTGAGTTGTCCGTGTGGTCATGAATCATTATTATTGTTGGCACGTGAGTTGTCCGTACGGATATTTGATATTGTCACTCCATTGGCACATGAGTCGTCCGTGCATTTATGAATTGTAATATGGGCACGAAATTCGAAGTGATTAGGGTTCATGAGATGGGACCCGTGAAATGTAACTATGAGGTGAAGTACCTCGAGAAAGTCCTTGAACAAATCTTGCGAGAAAGTGGTTGCTCTTATTGAGTGTTACTTGTTTTTCCTTACTTGGTTTCATCGGACTTAAACTGTATTCAGCTTACTCCACGACATTATTACTTGTTGTGTCTCGTTGCTAATTGCTGCTTTTAGTTTCCTATTACCAGCATTGCTTCATTATTGTTATCATGCTTTGCTTTAGATTGATATTATTCCCTGTTAGTTTCACATTCATACTTGTACAGGTTATTAAGTCTAGTAGGTGTCTTGATTGTCCCTCGTCACTACTCTACCGAGGTTAGTCTTGATACTTACTAGGTACCACTGTGGTGTACTCATGCTAGCTTTCTGCACATTTTTGTGCAGATCCAGGTACTACGGAGTTGGTTGATCATTAGTTAGTTGTTCGGACTTTGCTGTGGAGACTCAAGGTATACCTGTCATTGCATTCGCAGGCCCCGGAGTCACTTCTGTACTTGTATTGTTTATTTCTATTCCGAAACAGTTGTACTTAGAAGACTTTCTAGTAAACTCAGTAAAAATTATGACTTGTACTACCGGTTTTGGGATTGAAAGCTTTGTATAGAAAATTTATGTTCACGTTTAATAGTTTTTGGTTGAGTTTGCCATTAATTCAGTAAGTGTTAGGCTTACCTAGTCCCTAAGACTAGGTGCCATCACGACATCCTACGGAGGGAAATTAGGGTCGTGACAACTTTTGGGCCGTTTTAACCCAATAACTGGTATAAGAACCATGGTTTGGCAGGACGAGTATAGAGATGGCGGAGGGTAATGGCGTAGGGCCAGGCTTAGTGCCTTTGCCCGTCTATGGGCCGGTTTACTACCTTTAGCCGTAGATTCAAAACGCATACACAGCCTCTCCTCTGGACTTCGGTTGGGTGGCACATAGTTAATATCCAAATTAGCGCATGAATGGTGATGGGTCATATGGAACTTAGTTGAAGGGGAAGATTGTTGGGTATGTGCGAACAAAGTCCCACATGGAAAGTACAAAAGAAAAAGAAGCTACTTATAAGCAATTGGATACTCTTAATGGTGTGGGACCTTTTGGAGAAAACCGTGTGGGCTTGGTCCAAAGCGGACACTATCACACCATGTTAAGAGTATCTTTAGGCTGTTTTAGCCCAACAACTTCATCTCTTTTGATAGACAATCTTTTGGTTCCGCATAGCATAATGCTAATAAAGTTCAGAAGTTGTAAGCTGGTGCAACTATTTACGTACCGAATTAGTCTCCTCAATGCTTGTATTTAAGAAGAGGTTCTAGTAACACCATGATCCCTTGTCATGGATAGATGCACAATTTTGCACGTATATCAAAGACATGAGAGGTATATATAGACGATAGACCTGTCTCATAGGTACACAGTGTTTTCCGAGTTAATATTCGTTGCATAAAAGTTCAAAGTAAACTGAGGCATCTAGTGGTGAATATTCTTGGCATTTGCATGCAGAACAAATCTGGTTTAGCTTCAAAACAACTTTGTCCACA